CTTTTTAATATATAGTGGTACTCTAATCCTTCCTTGCATCAAAAACAGTATGATTGTTGTTGACTCATCTTCTTAATGGATGGCTTAAGTTGGTTGAGGTCCTTAATTATTATGAGGTGAGTTTACTAAATTAAAAACCCAACATTTTATTATAGCAAAAAGTCGTTGGACACAAGGAGTAGAAGAGTAAAAGTGAAAGTTTTAGGGAGATACATACTAAAGATTTTAAATTTTAAAAGAAAAAAAATTATAGAAAAGTGGAAGGATAAAAACGTTAGTGTGATCATGGGTGCATATTTCCAATCATCAAGAAACAATGGGGTTACATGAAGTTATAAATCAATTAATGAAGTGTGAAGTGACATGCCAATTTTGGACAGAAAAGGGGCAAGTGAGACATGTGATATTTGATTGTTAATGTAGTAATAATCCTTCTCAATCTTTTGTCAATCATTTCAAAATTTGAATTTTTTATTTTTAACATGTAAATTCAGTCTCTTACCTATATAAATATCTCTTAATAAACTAAAATATACTAAAACAACTTTTATCATATTTTAGATTTAAGGAAAGAAAAAAGAATATCATTTTTTTCAAACTAAATATACAGTTAAGTAAAATAAGTTTCAAATTTAACAATTTCATAGGCAAATTAATAATTTTTGCGTGAATTATCGCGTTGTGATTAGTTGAGCATAATTGCAATGATTAAGGTCTCTTATGACCGCATGATAAAAAAAATAATATTTAATGCAGCTATTAGTATTTTTATTTTGTTTTATAGGGCTTTTTATAAGGTTAGATTGTATTTTAAAAATACATTTGAATATTTGAATTTATTATAATATTTTCGATAAAACTATTTTTATATTATTTTATTAAAAGTACTTCAATAATTTTATAAGTTGTACTTTAACATTTTAATGTACAATTTACATGAATATCTTATATATGTATTGGGATTGGAAAAATGTTTAGATATCTTAAAAAAGTTGAAAATGTTAATTTTTAGTTTTACAAAAATCTATTATTTTATAATTTAAAATAACTTTTAACTGTAAAACACATTTTTCATTTTTATACTGCA